GTCGGAACAAAAGTGGAAGGAATGAGACAAAGTGTAAAAGCTATTTAAACTACATGTTGCTCCTCTTTTTTATTTTGGTGGCATCTTTTGATTCTTTTTTGCTTTTTGTAGTTTTCAAGGTTTCATTTAAATGTATATTTTTACATTGTTTTAATAAAAACAGTGACATCCACTCAAGCAAATGTAGACACTAAATATAACATTTAAAGAAACAAAAAATAAAGCTGGATTACACACACACACACACACATATATATATATATATAAATATATATATATATATATATATATATATATATATGATAATAATAAAAGACAGAGATTTTAATTATCCATTTTGTTTATAATTCTTATTTTGTGATGTGAACACTCAGATGTTAAACTCATCAGAAAAATTATAAGCGAAATGGACAATTAAAGTCTCCATCTTCTTCTTATCATATATATATATATATAATTCACCTTTTTTTTGCTCTGTAGTCTACATTGAGCTCTCCCTCGATTTATATCATCCTCAGAACTATCCCTTCCAGTCACAAACTGGTTAAACATAAACTGGTTATATATATATATATATATATATATATATATATATATATATATATATATATATATATATATATTTAAATAAAAAGAAAAGAACAAAGATATATAATCCAGTATTCTTATTGATATTTTTATTTTTTACAAAATAATACTCAATGTAAATTTACAGAGCATAAGTATTATAAATTAACTGATTTAAAATACGTAAATTTACAGAGCATTAATATTATAAATTAACTGATTTAAAATGTTTTTTTCACTTTTTTTTTTGTTCACAACCAACCTTCATGTAATTATTCTATCAGTAAGTAATATATATATATATATATATATATATATATATATATATATATATTGTTGTAACCTAGGAAAGGTTACTAAATAGAATAATTATATGAAGATTGGTTGTGAACTTAATACTTAGGACACGAACAACACATATAAGATTTGCCAGTGGTGCGTAGAAGTAGTCAACTGCTACGAGTGAGTCAAGTGAATTCCACAATGAATCTCCAACTGCAGACCAACATACAGTATTTACTACTGTATTAATGTGAACAGGGACATACCCATTATCATCCATAGGCATGCTACAACACACACACACACACACACACACACACACACACACACACATATATATATATATTAATTATTATTAAGAAAAAGAAGACTTTAAGTTGACATGATTATAATTTATTTTCTTAGAACCAAAATTTCAATTCTAATACAATCATTTAATACAATTTGGTTACGGAGGTAGGTGTATAACCTACCTCCTTAAACAGATGTGTGCATAAATTAAAAATTTAATAATAAATAATTTTTCTGCCTGGAAAAATTTCTTATCCATTTATTTATATAGGAATAGATGGTCTGTTGAATTAGAATCAAAATTTCGGTTCTAAGGAAAGAAATTGTAACCATGTTACCTGAAAGTTGTCTTTTTTTAATAATAATTGATGTTAGTTCTGTTTTTACATTGAACTCTCTGGATTATATCCTCTTTGGAATTATCCAAACAGATTACCAAATAATACCATTTTACATATATATATATATATATATATATATATAAAGCATAAACAGCACACTCTAATAAAAATGACGAGACAGACGAAAAAGGCTCATTTAGAAGAATGTGTACCATCATTTTTAAAACCATATATAAATTTGTGGTATAAAATTTTATATATATATATATATTTATATATATATATATATATATATATATATATATATATATATATATATATATATATATATACATGTTTCTTGAAATGTATATTATATATATATCATTGTATTATAAATACTTTAGAAATAAATTTATTTGCATTTCAGATATGAAAATAAATATCAGCAGATAATTGTATTTCTTAAAGAGGCTAAATGAGCTTATATATATTATTAAAATTAGAATTACACACATACATACAAATATACATATATATATATATACACACACAAACACACCTAAAATATGATAGCGAAGATTGTTTTTCTGCCTCCAGAAAAATATGGTTGACCAGTATGTTTCTGGATGACAATGGTTTTCAGTAAAATAGTCTTCATAATTAAAGTGATTAACATTAGTAAACTTATTATCAGACCTACTGACGACCAGATACCATATACATAGAATCCCACATATTTAAAAATTTTATTTCATTTGTTGATAGATAGATAGGTAGATAAATATATACACACACATGCACAGACACATATGCACATGCATACATACATATACACATGTATGCAGGCACACACACACATATATATATATATATATATATATATATATATACACACACACATACATATATATACATACACACACGTGAGTGTGTGTGTCTGTATGTGTCTGTTTCCAGCTTAAGCATGAAATATAATGTTACCTCTGGATGATGATTTCAATGTCCCCTTTTATATTTACATACACACTATCTCTGTCATTCAGCACTTTCACCCATAAATTTAGCATAGCTTAAAACTATATTTTATAATTTAATATATATATATATATATATATTTTAATACTATATATTTATAATTTTTTATACATATATATATATATATTTATATATATATCATTTATATATATACATATATATATATATATATATATATATATACACACATATACATATTTTTATTTCATATATATATATATATATATATATATATATATATGTATGTGTGAAGACGCAGCAGCCACTGAGAGCACCAAAAGAAGATGTGAAGTATCATGATTGCTAACATCCTGAAAGAACGTCATATATATATATATATATATATATATATATATATATATATAAAGCACATTCTCTAGAATAGACCAAATATAGAACAATTTTAGCTCATGAGTTCTACAAGGAAAAGGAGGAGTGTGGTTTTTATAATTTCATTCTAGAGTAATTAGGAATGAATGCCTTTTATCTTCCCAGAAGGCAATCAGTAGTTGCATGCATGGACATCATTCTTCTGGGGCCTTATCCAGTTCTATGCTCTCAATTTCATTTGTACACACAATCCACACAGATGCTTATTTCTGAAATGTCAGCAATAAAGATCAATAAGCAACTTGAAATTGGTTTTCATCTTTCTTTTATTTTTTTTCAAGATGCGTAGAATATTTCATTGGTCGATTTCTATGTTTTATATGCATTTAATATGTTATACAAGGAATATCTGTTATTACTCTGTATTATATAATGAGAGAGAAAGAGAGAGACAAGTCATTCTCATTGTATGTGAAGTATAGGGCCACAGCTTCATCACATTATTGATGCTGCTATGGTTTCTATGGAAAGTGCTCAGACAAACTGCATTCCTTATTTCCACCATTTCTAACCATCATGGCTAAGACCTGCCGCACCACTCACATTGTAGAAAAACCACCCTCATTCCCTCTGTATTCCATTGGTGAGAAGTCAGTAGCATGCAGAAGGTGGTGGCAGAGGGTGTGAGGCCCTGAGCATTCATACAGGGAAAGCATTCAATCAAAGAGTGAAATAAAAATTTAGTTTATATTTAACTTGATTAAACTATTTCTTTTATGTTTCATCTGTTTTTACATATTTAAAATGTCTTCCTTCCTCACATTTTTCAGTACTAGGCCCTATAGGATCTCCTACTTGAGTCTTAGAAGCATACAGTCAAAGAATTTCTGCATATCGCTGCTGTAAACAACTTCTCTGAGGAACCGACTCCCAAAAGGATATCTTCCCAATCACTGAATTCTTAACCTGTTCAAGTCTAGGGTTAACTGTTATCTTATCCCACATATCCACATAGACTGTGCCTCTTACTCTGTATCCCTCTATCTTGAGTGGCTATTGAGCCTTGTACAGGATCAAGGTCAAAGTAAAAAAATACAATTTAATTTTTAATCTGACTGGTTCTTCAGTATCTGTCTATATTTCTGAGATGATGTCTTATGTACATTATTTACATTTTACTATTGTCCTCATCTTTGTCGCCATATTTGTCACAATATTTTGGCTGTTGTATTCTTCAGGTGGTTGGAATGTCGAACTAAAGCAAAATAAAGGGTTTAGTTCAACATTCCAACCACCTGAAGAAGGCTGGAGCATACAATGGCCGAAATGTTGTGATAAATATGGCGACAAAGATGAGGGCAATAGTCCGAATAATGTAAATAGTGTGACTAGATCTTATTGCTTTAAGCATTATATTTTAGTGGATGCACATGTTTAAGTAGATGCTCTGTATTTTTAAATAGTCTGAATTACATCTACCGGTCTGTGCATTCAAGAGTCTTAGTAAAGAAATGAGTCTTCTGGCTGGGTTCAAACATGTGTTGCTCTTTGTCAGGTGAACCACTGTCTTATTTGGTGTGCTTTAGACTGTGCAGCCACAGGGAGATTCACAGACCAGCATGCTTACCCTTAAAAGATTACCTGAAACTTACTGGACTGTGACGCTAGCTCTCTATTGCTGCATGATTTAAAACATACTGGATCAGATTGTGGTTTCCCTTAAAAAAGAGGATACAGATTTGAACCATGACAAAGGGTACCTTTTTTTTTTTTTAAGACTCTTGAATGCACAAGCCAGTAGATGAATTTCACACTGTTTAAAAAAAATAGGCACCTACTTAAAGATGTGTATTCACTAAATATGTTTAATAAGAAATAACTGTGTAAGTCAATTATTGAATTTTTGCTAATCTTAATCTAGACCAATACAAGTTTAAATGAGATTCATGGAGTTTAGAAAGATTGTCTAGTACCAATCTTGCAAATGAGAAGGGCCTTGGTTAGTGGCATTTGAAATTTTGGCATTTTCAGCTGGGCTAAGAAACTGACTGAATGTGCCAGCATGTATTTGACCCACAAAACAAGCCTTATTTTACAAATTTATGCTCAATATATTTATAATCAATAAAAAGGACCAGTATTTTATCCTTCCACTGTATAAAAATAGGGCATATGGCCACATCCTGTTGAAACATTGGTTCCCATAAGATTAACAAAGTTAAGCAATGTTGAGCCTGGTCAGTACTTAGATGGGTGACCAGTTGGAAATATCTAAGCTTGAATCTATTAAATCTATTATTTATTTTATGTAAAATAAATCTATTATCTGTTTTACATTCAACATCATCCCTTGATAAGACACCGGAGGTGTTGAAACAAAATGAGTATTTTTGTAGTGATTTTATAACATATTTATGTTATAATTTTTAAATAAATAATTATATATATATATATATATATATATATATATATGGTGGACTCTCCCATAGTATTCGAGGTATGAGGGTCAAGCAGCTCAGTTCCTAGTAACTGATAGCCAGACACCAGCACATATGATTTGATTATAATGTTGAAGGCATTGCACAGAACCAACCACACTTTTCATACAGAGACCTGGTGCACTACAAGCTACAAGGTCCCCATACGACTGTCTATAGGTTTTGAATTCAGAGTTATCATTTCCCCTAGACCAGTTATCATCCAAGGCTATAGAACCCAGTCTGTCCTGCTATTTACCTCTAGCTGGAGGAAGAAGAAGAGGATTAATACCTTTCCCAAGAGTATTAGCATGTAAGTGAATGTAATGGATATGGAATTCAAACTTGGCTCTCCAATTCCTCAATCTGATCCGCTATCCACTACGCCACCATGCATCCCATATATATATATATATATATATATATATATAGCTTACGGTCAAATCAGTACTTAGATGGGGGACCGCTTGGGAACACCTGGTACTGTAAGCCCCAAAGTCCAACCCTTACCTCACAGTCGGTGGGGGGGTGTAAACGGTAGTGTCAGAGCTATTCCGCCCGGAACTTCGTTCCTGGTAGGGCCACCCAAGGCGGACAGGTCTGACACACACGCCGGCTAACAAGGGCTCTGGTGAAAATCCAAGGAGCGTCTGCATCGGTAACGGCGGCTTCTGGTCGATTTTCCTGTCTCTGCGTCTGTGGGAACCCCGCGGCAAGCAAGAACGTTATCCGAGTAGGCCTGGGTACCCTACTTCTGTAATTTATCCCAAGAATCTTCTTCTCATAACAGGAAGAAGCCGGCTCAATCCGCCCAGGGTGAATGCCGCATCAGTACAGTAGTATATATGTGTGTGTGTGTGTGTGTATATATATATATATATATATATATATATATATATTTTTAACTATCGGCAATGCTTGCTGGATAATTCAGATTGTGCAGAGCTCAGTCCACTCAAGATGTGAGTTTATTGGAAGTGGTTTACATTAAGTTACATCAACTATCTCTGTGCAGAGAGAAAGAGCATTTATTTTATTTGGTCTTGCTGTCTTTTAGCTGGTATGTGAGTAAAGTTTTTCAATTTTATACGCACCTGGAAATTTTAGCCTATTGCTCATATATTCCCCTCCTTTTTTTTCTTTTTTTCCCTTATTTTATTAATGTTTTATTAATAAATTTCTACTTTAGTCATGGTTCCTTTTTCTCCACCTTATATTTCCTCACAGGACAAACTGTGTTTCCCTTGTCACTCAACATTACCAATGTATTCTTCTGATGTGGTCTTGATCAAAAGGGATCTCTGATGAAAGAATGACTTCCTGCATTTTTAAATCTGTCTATATGTTCTGTGGTATCAAATTTCTGTTCATATATATATATATATATATATATATATATATATATATATATATATGATTATATAATGTAACAGCAAAATTGTCCAAATCATGTAACAGCATAATTGTCCATCCCACAAAATGTTTAATATCTAAAAAACCATTAAACTAATTGAGTTTCTATTTTCCAGGTTTTCAGATAAGATGTTTAGCCATCTTGATACTGTTTGTCATAAGAATAAGAATAAGCTAGAAAGAGAACAGGTTAAAATTGCCTTGTGTCAACTCCACTATCTTCTCAAATGAATGATGAGAGGAAAAAATTATTCAGGCCTTCAGTAATGTTACGAACATTCATACTCTGGCTTCCATCTTCAAAGTCTTTTCAAGAACCATCAAGAGAATTGTGAATAAGTTTAAAGAAGAGGGAATAATAGAGAGGAAAACTGGATCAGGAGGAAGAGGGATCATCTTTTCAGCTTTTAGCTAGAAGAGATCCAACTTAGTCCATAAGACATTTGGTATGTGAGAGAGTAGTTTCAGCTATGATAGTCCAAAGAGCAGTGAAAAAAGACTTGAAAATGAAATTGTCCATGAAACCTGTGAGGCACCTTGTTACTCCAGGACAGAAAGTTAGAAGGTTAGAGAGTGCTAAGATCATCTTGAATAATTTGGAAAATGATCCTGAAAATATATATATAAATATATATATATATATATATATATATATATATATATATATATTAACTTTTATTTTAATCCTTCATGAGCTTCCAACTTAGCTATGATTAATTAATGATAAACATATCATTTTCATTTAGGATCGATTTCATCACGTTCCTTCTATTAAGCTTGGAGAGTAATTACGCACGCTTATTGCTCAATGTAGTGTTCAGTGGTATTACAAAAACCTTGGAGAATTCCAGTAAGATATCTTTAATCACTTATTTTTATATATATATATATATATATATATATATATATATATATACACACACACAAGTGTGTTTGTGCACATATATATTCTCATGTACTTATATATAAAGATTAACTAGTAAATTACTTTTTCATTTGTTAGGGTTAAAATTTGGGAGAATTTGCACAAACAGTTTGCCATGAAAGAATAAAAAGTCTACAAAATTGATTTGAAATTCCTTGCACAAAACTTCCATCCAACTTTAGAATTATTGATTGGAAAAGACTAAAAGTTCATTGATGGTATTCTGAATACAAATCTTTCCCTGCTTGCCTTGAAAAAAAAACAATTGTAACTTAACTGCCAGCTTTGTCATTAGGAATATCTCTGTTAAGAAATACTTGAAGGATTTGATTTCAAATTAATATATCTGCAATTCTTTCCTCATTGAAAATTAAGTAAGTGTATTAGTTGTATTTCTTTTTGAATTTCTAATCATATTTATTATATTGTGTACTAGCAGCATGCCCGGCGTTGCCTGTGCTTGATTCAAAAATCGTACAACTCATACAGCAATCGCTATCACTTGACTTCAAATATTTTTGCCCTTCCTTGCCTTTAAAGGAGTGCCCTTTTCCGTGCTGATGTTGCTACATGCCTTACTTCTTGCCTATCTCACATTGCGAATTTTTCTAAGCTCTATACTAAACATTAAATCTGTTACGAAAAAAGAACTAAACAAAATGAACACAAAACGATCAGCTTTAAAAAAGGACTCGTAACTGGAAAAACCGAATGAAAAAAATAATGTTAACAACAAATACTTTTTCACACCCAACCCAGTTCTACAGAATCAGAATCAATATTGAGTTTAAGTAAGCAAATGAACCAGTTGGAGTAAAGTGCCATACAGATTTAAATTTTTCCCACTTGTGACAAATGCAGCTATCAATTTTTTTTGCATGGGAGTTAACATTCATGTCAGTCAGCTGTTGGCTCTCACGCTGGCCAATAGAATCTTCCTGCCTATTCGTGGCAGCTAGCTATAAGCTCTCACTCTGGCCAGTATAAAATGACTGCAAACTACATGAAAAGTGCCGTAGAAGCATGAAAAAAATTGATTATTTCCACTATCGATGGGAGTTGGGAAATGCAAAGTCAGTCTTGGCCTTCTGGCTAACTTGGAGTATGTGGATGTAAATTTTGGTGCAAATCCGTCAAAAATTGTGGCCATGCATTCGTTACACACACACACACACACACACACACACACACACATCCTGCCTTTTATAGATAGAGATTTCTTAATGAAGATGATGCACTTGCTCAAGGTCTTGGTATCTTTGGATGAGAAGTTTCTGATAAATCTTATTCCTGCTCTTGTAATATTTCAGATGTTTGTCTGACAAAATCAGTATGAAATCAGCTAACAAAGAATAAGCTTACAGGTAACAACCAATTCTGCAATCTCTGTCTGTTAATTTAACACTGAAGAATGAAGAATTCATTGCAGACCATGAATGTAGAATTTTGCACTAAGCATGAATGAATAATTTGGTGCTGATGATGAACGTATAAATTTACACAGACCAGGAATTAATAATTTTGTGCTGACCAGGAAGGAATAATTTTGCATTGATTATGAATGTAGAATTTTGTGCAAAGAAAGAAGAAAGAAATTTGTGCTCACAAAACCCAAAAGTTTCACATTGGCAAAAAAAAACCCAGTAATTTTGTGATGATAAACAACCAAGAATTTAGTTCTCACAAAGAACCAAGATATATTAATCCAAGGTCTTTATAAAGGACTAGCCAGCCACTTGCAAGCTTGTGAGTGCAGTCGCTTTACTCTAGCAAGTGCCTTCACTGCACTCATGCATTAGTGAGAACAGTGCACTCAACCCGTTGTCTCACTTCATTCAACGAATTGCATTTACTTTGCTCATGCAATATTGAGCACGGGGCACTCAACCATACACAACTCAATCCTTGTACACTGGTCAACATTTCTTGACTTTTCTTGTCCACCATGGCATCCTTCTTATTAAATATCCAATCAAAAACCTGCCGAATAGGAGAATAGAAAAAATATGTGCTAAAATAAATATGGAGAAATATATTATATTCCATAATATGTTTTACTTATGTTTCTCTAACTCTTCAAATGTTGAATGTATAACTAATTCTATTTTCCCGTCTTTACACTATATTAATTTTATATTATAAATTGTCCCCTTTTCTGTCATCCATGAAATAAAAATAATTGTTTATATGAAAAATAAGGATCTACATACATCAAATTGTCTTTAAATTAAGTGGCAGCAGAAGAATTATTGTTGAACTTTTAAATGGTAAGCTTAAACATTAACTCATTGAAGCAATCAATTTTGAGTTCTACTCCTCCCTTGCTATTGTGATGATAGCCAACCAGGAGTCCTCCACAGTAGCTAGCTTAAATGCCACCCAATAGGGTGGCTTTTAAGCTAGCCTATAATAAAACCAGCACTGCAATTTCAGATACAAAAGGAAAATAAGAGTTACTTCCCTTGAACCATGAAAGCAACGATAATGGTTAGTATAATACAGGGTGTTTCAAAAAGAATATGCCAAAATCATTACACTGTTTTTTCAGGTCTATAGGATTGTAGTGGACTGAATCAGTGGTTATTTGATAGAGTAGTTATCAAAGTTTGATTGGGTGTCAGTTTCACTGCTGTCGTTAGTATAACTTCCGGGGCAGCTACAAACAGGACAAACCTATCTCGACATGCTCCAAAAATGGCTATTCACTTTACTGCAAGCAGATTTGAATGACTTCATTTTTCAGCAAGATGGAGCACCACCCCATTGGCATCTCGGGGTTAGAGCTTATCTGAATGAAAACGTGCCTCAGCAATGGATTGGGAGGAGAGGTGCTAAAGACCTTGCTCTCTGTGCTTGGCCTGTCAGATCCCCAGACCTCACTGTGCGTGACTTTTTCTTGTGGGGGTATGTTAAAGACCAAGTTTATGTTCCAGCACTTCCAGCAAGTATCGATGACTTGAAAAATCGAATAACAGCTGTAATCAACACGGTGGACCGTGACATGCTGAGGCGCGTTTGGGAGGAATTCTCATATCGGCTTGATGTTGTCTGCGCTGCTGGTGGTGGCCACATTGAGCACTTATAAAACGTGAAATGAAACTTGAATGTATATATAACAGATGTGTTCATGCTAGAGATTTGTAATTTTTTTGTTTTTGACATATCACGTGATGATTTTGGCGTATTCTTTTTGAAACACCCTGTATATTTTTAACTTTGCATAATCTGGCAACCCTTAATCTGAGCTCAATGAAAATTGTTCACTGCACTTAACTTTTCTAGGGCTTTTAAATGAGTTATGAATCATTGAAATTGGACCAGTGGGAGCTGAGGAGTTGCTTGGACACACATATGCACAAGCACATACACATACGCTGTACTTTATATATAAGATGTTCCATAAAGGAAAATTTCAACCAAGAGCTAAAATTGATTAAAATTCTTCTGCATCTTCTCTTCAGACCATCAGTAATCAAGTCAGAATGGGATTACTTCATCATATTTATTTCCTCTTCATGCTGCAAATGATGTTTTAAAATAGTCTACATTCATCCATGCTTTGAATATTGCTGCCATATATGGCCCAGTGCCTTTGCTATTTACCTGGAGCTTCTTGGATAAGATCCAAAGATGAATCATCAATATTATTAGTTTTGATCTGGCAACTTGGCTTCAGTCACTTGCCCACTATTGAAAAGTTGCCTCTTTGTGCCTTTTTTATAAATAACTTGAGGACCACCTTTTTGTTTCCATGGGGCATTAATGTGAAAAATGCCCCACATTTTGGGGAGGTACTTGATTCCAGACATCCTTGATGAAATTGAGGAACTTGTTTATACATTTGGGAAGAGTGGATGCTATACAGACAGCATCAAGGTTTGCATTTTCGCATTGTGCTAAAATGAAATGCACACTGAAACCAAATTTAAAATGAAATGCACACTGAAACCGAATCTAAAATGAAATGCACACTGAAACCAAATTTAAAATGAAATGCACACTGAAACCGAATCTAAAATGAAATGCACACTGAAACCAAATTTAAAATGAAACCAAATGAAACCGAATTAAAATGAAATGCTGAAACCAAATTTAAAATGAAATGCACACTGAAACCGAATCTAAAATGAAATGCACACTGAAACCGAATCTAAAATGAAATGCACACTGAAACCAAATTTAAAATGAAATGCACACTGAAACCAAATCTAAAATGAAATGCACACTCAAACCATCTGTTCCTGACTTTATGTTAATTGGTCTTATTTTTTATTTGAAAAATTAAGTTAAGAATTTTTAGTTGATTTTCTAGTTCTATGATTCTCAAACATACACACACACATACAAAAAAAAGACACCAGGTTCAAGTTTCTCACTAAATAGTCTGCACAAATAGATGAATAGAAACATGGAAATACTTTTTTCCCTGGTGCCCTGACTAGGGGAATTTAAACGTGCTATTAGATCGGCATCTAGGTCCCACTCATTTACTGTTGAAATAGTTAAATGTAACTGCCACTTCTACTCCAACTGTTTCTTTCCTCGCACTTCCCGACACTGAAACTCTCTTCCTTTCACTTGCTTCCCTGATAACTACAATCTTCAAAAATTTAAATGCAATGTCAATCACCATCTAGCTAATCTGATTTGCAACTCATTTATTCTATCACAAGAACTCATCCATCACCATTTGATCCAACATATACTTTAATATTGCATATTCACAGAGATCCTACTAAAATACACATGATGCAAAAATCTGTTAATATACAAATTTGTTTTTTACAAGAATATATAAAAGTATGTAGCATGAAATAAGCAGGAAGAACAATGATTAGCAAGCGAGTTTAAGTGCTTCACAATTGTGATTTTATAAGGCACTAACCTAAGTTTAGCCAATGTCTTCAGAACATTTATAAATTCAGAAAAAGTCATTGTGATATTTTTGTGTGTATAATGTTTGAACTAGATGTATGTTTTTGGTTTCTAATGCATATTTAAATATAAATTATCCAATGTCTTAGTACTATCTCCTTTTCTAAGTTATATTTATATTGAAATATAAATTATCCAATATCTTAATACGTTCTGCTTTTTGAAACCATTTTCAGTTTTGCTTTTTGCAAATATCACATCTTCATGTTCTCAGAAATGTTCATGATATTGTTTTTATTTTTTTTGTAAAACATGTAAAATGTTTTTATCAAAATTAAAAACCAAAATTGTGTCTTCCAGACAATTCTTCAATGTTGAAAGTCTCTAACTACTGCATCACTAATTCCATGGAAAGTGTTCAGATGAACTACATTCAAAATTCTACCAGTTCTGACCTTCACAACTAAGACTTGCCATGCTACACACTGTAATATATGAATAAAGAGTTGCTGCCGACACTAGAGTTTGAACATAGATCGCCAGTGAGCAAACACAGGCGATCCCATTATTGAATTAAGTAGACCATAGAGGAAACACACATAAGTAGGAAGTTGCGTGACGTCTAAACGATCGCTATATCTCCTCTATCATTATATGGGCTGCTATTCTCTACTCTAATCACTATACTATTTCTCTATTCAGATCACTATACAAGTTACTTGTCAAGTAAGTATTATTGAGCAAGTACTATTAGTACAAGTGTTATTCGTAGGTATCTGACACCAGCATTATTCAACGGTGTTACTATAGTTGTGTCTGCAATTACAAAGTCTCTACTACAACAAGCATTACGAAAGTGACAATGAGTATTTGTTGACATCACAAAAGTCTCAAACGAGTGTTTGTTGACATCACCAAACACATATTGTAGTGAACCACTTTCATTCCCTTCATATCCCATGAGTGAAATGTCCACTTGTATAGCTTCTTCCCATGAACCAGTACTTTGTAGAATTGATCCCAAGAGGATGCTTCCCCAATCACTACAATCTTAACCAGTTCAAGTCTAGGGTTAACATATATCTTCCCAATATATGCTCATAAACTGTGGCCCTTACCTCTTACTCTGTAATCCTCTACCTTGAGAGGCTCTTGGGCTATATACAAAAAAATAGAGAGGTAAGTCTGAGTTTGCATCTCTAGCAAAGAATGAAGAACCTGGATAATTTTTTTAAACCCATATAAAAATATGGCCACATCACATTGAAACAGTGGTTCCTATACAATCACAGGAAGTTAAGCAATATCAAGCCTAGTCAGTACTTAAATGGGTGACTGCTTGGGAATACCAGGTGCTGTAAGCTTGGATGGGCATATGGTGTAATGTATAATGGTTCATAATTGTTAATCAGAGAGCTGAGTTCCAATTCTCGTTGGGATTGTTATATTCACTTACGCAGAATTACCCTTGGAAAAGGTATAAATCCACTTCTTCTCCCCTCACTATGGGTTAATTAGTAAGACTTTTATCCCTAAACCATTATTATCTCTTAAAAAAAAAAAAAAAAAATTCCTATCTAAAATTATTTTCTGGCTTTAAATAACCTGCAAAGGGTTGATAAACTTTAAAAAAAACAAAATATCACTTAAGTAAACAGTACTCCGTGTCTTGGATAGCTAAAAGGTGGGCCATAAAAATGTCTCAGGTATAGAATTCACACTTTGTATTGTGATGTAAAATTTGTGTAAAATTGAACTTGGAAACATTCTCATGTAAGGAGGAGGAGAAAGAGAGAGTGAGAGAATAATGTCACTATGTAATATGCCAAATGTATTTGTTGATTTTTCTGTAATGCCTGTAATGTTTAATGGTGTCAGTGCAAGAGAGCTAAGACTATCTTCTTTGCACTGGTAGCACCAGGTGTCAATGTCTTTGTTATGACAACAATGAACATCTTGAAGATGTTTAAGAAGCTGGGGGTGGGGGTTGAAAAGACCGACTTTGTGAAAGAGTGGTATACAATGACAATAATTGCATGTAAAAACCTTCTAATAATAGAAAGGCTTCAAAAAATATGCTGCCATTTTTAATGGCATAAGGGAATAGGAAAAAAATTAAGATCTAACAATGGAGCAATTAAGAGAAAGGAAAGAATTAAGTAAAGAAGAAGAGAAGAGGGAGGAAAGAATTAGAAGAAAGGAAGGAAGGAAGGATGAGAAGAAAGAAAAGGAGAAGAGGGAAGAAAGAATTAGAAGAAAGGAAGGAAGGATGGGAAGAAAGAAGAGAAGAGGGAAGAAAGAATTAGAGGAAGGAAGGATGGGAAGAAAGAGGAAAGAAAAGAAGAAAGAAAAGAGGGAAGAAAGAATTAGAAGGAAGGATGGGAAGAAAGAGGAAAGAAAAGAAGAAAGAAAAGAGGGAAGAAAGAATTAGAAGAAGGAAGAAAGAAGAAAGAAAAGAGGAAGAGAAGAGGAAAGAAAGAATTAGAAGAAGAAAGGATAAGAAGAAAGAAAGAATTAGAATAAGAAAGGAAGGAAGGATGAGAAGAAAGAAAAGAAGAAGAGAAGGGGAAAGAAAGAATTAGAAGAAGAAAAGAAGGAAGGACGGATGGGAAGAAAGAAGAAAGAGAAGAGGAAGGAAAAATTAGAAGAAAGGAAGGTAGGATGAGAAAAAAGAAGAAAGAAAAGAAGAGGAAAGAAAGAATTAGAAGAAGGAAGGAAGGACGGGAAAAAAGAAGAGAAGAGGAAGGAAAAATTAGAAGAAGAAAGGAAGGAAAAGAGAAGAAAGAAGGAGAGGAAGAAAAAGAAGAAGAAAGGAAGATAAAGAAAAGAAGAAAGAAAAGAAGAAGAGTAAAGAAAGAATTAGAAGAAAGGAAGGAAAGATAAGAAGAAAGAAAAGAGGGAGAAAAGAGTGAAGAAAGAATTAGAAAAAGAATGGAAGAAAGAAAAGAGGGAAGAAAGAAAAGAAGAAAGGATGGAAGAAAGAATTAAAGGAAGAATAGAAGGAAGAAAAGAGGAAGGAAGAAAAAAGAAAGAAAACTGGGAAGAAGGAAGAAAGAATGAAAGGGACACAAAGAAGGAACAAAACAGAAAAAAAGGAAGAAAAGAAAGGAAGGAAAAAGAACTGCAAAAAGAGAAAGGAATGAAAAAGGAAGAAAAAAAAGAAAGGCAGTAAGTAAGGAAAGAAAAAAAGGTAAGGGAAGAAGTAAGGAAGGAAAAAACAGAAAAAAGAAAACAAAGAAAGGCAAAAAGGAGGAAAACAAAAAGAAACAAGAAAGTCATTTAAGTCTTTTAAGATCTTTTATTATTTCTATTTGTGTCTGTGTGTGAGAGAGAGAGAAAGAGAAAGGGAAAGAGAGTGAGAAACAGAAGTGAGAAAAAGAAAGAAGAAAACTAATGAATTACTATTAGAGAGTTAAAGTGAAAAAGAAAAAAAGAACTTGCTACATATATCATAAGCCCCTGTCATGGTTGACAACTTAAGTAACAATTTTTGTTGCTGTGGCCTGGGTTAATTATGGGAGAGGATTTTCCCAAGTGCTTACTTTCCCCACTCATTTCTCCATCAATCATTATGGCAGGCCACTGAGCTGACCTTTTAGCAAGAGATCTGTGTGACAGAGAACAGGGAGAAATAGATTCATGCCTTTTCTAAGACCATTAGTATGAGATAAACAGCTTCAACTAAAATTTGAAGTTGTTAACCCTGCTTTTCATACTAGTAACCACTACAGTGGAGTAATGGATAGGAGCTTGGATTGAGGAATCGATAGAGCTGAGTTCAAATTCCAGTTGAATCTGTTACATTCACTTACATGCTAATACCCTTGGGAAAGGTATGAATTCTCTTTTTCTCCCCCCAGCTATGGGTAAATAACAGGACAGACCGGGTTCTATAGCCTTGGATGGCAACTGGTCTACCGCAGAAAGAAATTGCAACCTACTGCGGGAAAAAATCTGCCTGGTCAGTCATGTATCGAAAGATACATGATCGCCAAAGCATGTAAAACGCATGGCACATAACTGAACCACTATACCACTTTACATCCAGTGTGCATATAGATATATGTAGATCACTTGTAGATCATTGTCCACAGAGTAACATTAATAATTATGGAAACAAAAAAATTTCTAGGGCACATGATAAGGAAAGACGGCTTAGAAAATTTGACACTCACAAGACCTTGAAAGTGAAATGGACAGAGGCAAGCAGTGTATAATCTACCTAACAAATAGTTGTGTTAATGTTTTTCAAAGGTTCCAAATATCTAGATAAAACATACTGAAGGAAATCCCTATTTTGGTTAAAATCAACATAATTCGTATGAAGTGCATTTCTCTTTCTGAAAAGTAAGCGAAATGATTTTTCCAAAATTTCAACAAACTGGTAAGCAGAACAGCATATTATTTTTGCCATTAGATGTTCTTTGGTATTCTTTGATAAATTGTAACTATTTATTGTAACTATCTCCCAATAACTATATACCTTCAACACGTACAATTTGCCTTGATTATTGGTGTATCTTATTTTGTTGAAACCAAAATGCTAACTTCCCTAACCAATCCCCCACCACAACACAAGTGAAAACAAGGTGGGGCATGGAAGCTGAGTTCTCAACCCTGATTATCACCCATTGAAAACTTTCCTTGTTAACTTGATGTATATTTGATGATACAAATCATCTGCATGTTCCAGACAGAAAGAGTTAGAGTAGTATGGATGGCGGGGGAGGTATTGAAGATGACGTTAATTCATGAGGGGCTTGTCGCAACACGGCAAATTGCTACAAAGCCAAAACCTGAAAACTCTCAAGTCATGTTCTTAAATAGCCTTGTCAAATCGTGACTTTCATATGGACATCACGTCAATTCTGTTCAGAAAACTGTCAGCTCTATACAACCGCTTTCTCAGATCAACATTTAAAAATGACTTTGAGCGAGTGAAACGTATAGGTCTTGCTAAAAACCACACTTCTTTGAACCGTGTGAACTGGCTCTACAGAACCGCAAACAATGATCTGTACGAACTAAAACACATCACTTGCAGACATTCAAAAGCAGCAACAACGGGAAATGGATATCATATGTATCTTGAAGAAAAATGGATATCATATGTATCTTGAAGAAAAATGGATATCATATGTATCTTGAAGAAAAATGGATATCATATGTATCTTGAAGAAAAATGGATATCATATGTATCTTGAAGAAAAATGGATATCATATGTATCTTGAAGAAAAAATAATGACATAATCAAGATGTTAACATACCATACTACTTCAATTAGTAAATAGGTTTGCCGAATGTCCTGTTCACACTCTTCCTCTTTCTTTTGAACAGGAGTAGAGGTTTATCCCTTGATTCCTGTTTAGGATTTGGTTTCTGGTTCCTTCTAAAATCTAATTTAACTATGCTTTTAATGCCTTTTCCTAAACTCTGAAATTTTATTTACCATTTTTTATTTATTTATTTTTTCCTCAATAGGAGTAGATAGGTTTGCCTATCGTCCAGTTCACACTCCTCCTTTTGAATAGGAATAGAGGTTTATTCTTTGTTTTCTGTTGATTGAGTTTCTGGTTCCTTTTAAAGTCTTTTCAATTTATTTTACTCTCAGTAGTCCCTTGTATTTTAGTGACATTGGTTGGGGTGAATTGATTAAAAAAAAGTGGTTAGAAAGAAAACCCCCATCAATAGCAGAAAGTGCAATAGCAACTACTGGACTTGAGAAACCGATATTCCTGAAATATTGTTTTGAAAGAAAGATTTTATAAATCGGTAGTACAAACTGCTTGGTCAATTCCAAATGTTTTCTTGTAAGGAAATGATACAATTACCATTACTACTGTCATCTTCTTCTTCATTCCTTAAAAAAAAAATATAACAAGTATATTGCTCCTTGTAAGGCTGATGAGAAAAGAGGGCTTGGAGAATTTAACACTTACAAGACATATTGAAAGCAACACAGGAACAGCACAACATCCTATCCTTCTTAGCTTTTAGTGTGTAGACCGATAGATGTAATAATAGACACTATTTAGAATAAAATTGGGGTGTCTATTTCAAACATGAGTATCCAATAAAAATAACATTTGAAGTAATAAAAATGTATTAAAATTTAAATCATTTAATTCTTATATAGGGTGCGATGGATAAATTGTCACCATTTTATATTTTTAATTTCACACATGTGCATTGTTTGTTTTTTATTTTGTCAACAGCACAGTGTAGTAGGGTCAGTTCAGCACTGTCTATGAGAAAAAGAGCACCATAACACAATTCATTCCACCAGAAAACAGCATGCTGTACTGCTTGGCATTTACACCAGAAGCTCCAATACAAACATTTCAGTGTGTTTGGGTGTCAA